GCCGTGATATTGCTGGAATATTGCTAAAAGCGGCGTAAAACCGAACTCACTCACTCACTCACCCACCTGTCTTTACCATCACTCAATTCTGGAATTTTACACTTTAAAGACCTGTGTTGATATATTTGATGTCAAAAGACACTCCGGTGAGATTCTTAATGTTTCCAGTCTTGGGGGAATGTTATGTAATGATACTGGAAAATATATGTTATATTTGTACATATACATGTATATGTTATTTATCGATATGTATAATCACTGGGTGAATGGTTAATAATGTGATAAATTCTGATTCTGTTCTGTGCATAGATGATCTGGAAACCTGTAGATACTATTTAAATAATTATATTGAAATCTATTTAATATATTCTGTGTGTTTTTCATAATGAACATAATGAACTCAATGGATCTATTGTCTCATACCATGACTGTGATTTTGGATGATAAATACCTCCTGTCTTTATCATCGCTCAAGCCTTGGAATTTTTTCTCTTGTAAGAATTGTGTTGATATATTTGATATCAGAGACACTTCCGTGAAATTCTTTATGTTTCCAGCTTTGGGGCTGGAGAATTTGTACATGTATAAGTCATTCATCATTGCTGGAATATAGCTGAAAGTGGCATAAAAACATAACACTCACTTTCCCTGAAGAATAAAGAATGATAAATAACCAGCTGTTAAAACTGCGACCGTTGCCAAACAAAGGGGAGATGAAATGGGGTTTGAAAAGACTTTCATTATCATTGCACTGCAAAGCGACGTGGATGTATGTGTATGTGTCGCTGCTTGTACGAGTCTAGACTTATGCCAGTTATACAGTAATGGTGTGTAGAGATACCCAACTCAGACAAATTGTACTGTATCTCCTTAATGCCGAGTGCCAGGCAGGGTAACAACAAGAACTATCATTTTATTATCTTTTGATACCCCTGACATTCCGCTTGACGATGCAGGCAATCACGGAAACAACAGTTTTCTCCAGAAGATACACACAGTGCTTATTGCATTTTGGGGAAAAACCCATGTCATCACTGTCAGCAATGATGTTTCCAATGGTGGGAAACATTTGGATCGTGGCATAGGCTCTGTGAGTTGATTGTCACAGCTTGTGTCAGGTATTATCATAATCTTCTTGTCGCAACAGCTAACGGATATCAAGAGGCTCCAAATGAAAGAAGTAAGACTGATAATAATGTACATTTTCAAAATCATATTTATATTTTGAGCGTATACAGTTTGTTGAACAATTGTTTAGCTGAGTGAGTTAGCTAACAGTGCTTTGGTGAGTATTATTATCAGAGCTAGTCATCTCTGGTGAAACTCACGAGCATGGGTATAATGCTGACAAACCTAGAATTATAAAGAGGGCGAATCTGGTATTCGAACCGTAGCTCCCATTTTTATGGTACTCCCAAGAAATGCAGATTTACATCGAATACTGAGTGACGATTGGGTAGTGCTGCCCCTCAATATCATAACGATAATTCCGCACACAAGATTGGAAAATAAGCTAGCGCTTCAAACGTACGTCAAGTCTACTATGAGGCTTCATGTGTATACTATGTCGTGGCATGTGTGTTTGTGAAACCCGCCGTATTGTTCCCTACTGCACAGCGCTTTAGTGACTACAGCTATATCTAACCATCCTCAGAGAATACATAATCTCTCTTAACCTGTCTTTAAAAATATGTATATGTATATACATGTAAATATCTATAAGCTTCTAAAAATAAGATTGCTTTGGGGAAACAATGTACATCTCTGAAATCAAATATAGTTTAAGAAAAAGCCGTGTGTGTGTGCAGTTTGGTTGCTTAGCGATTGTAGCTCGTATTGGGTAATAAGTTTAACGCATCTGTGTAGGAATTCTTCAGTTATAAATGGCGTTAACGCTTGGTGTGGGAGGAAAACTGATTTGATGAAACCCACGAGCACTGGTACAGTGCGGAAAAGCTACGAAGGGTATCCACAACGGATCTGAGATACACACGATCACGGGTGTCTGGCACACCTAAGGGACGTAACTCGGCACTTCGAATGATTGCGTCTCAGACGCTTTCAAATAGAAAGATAGAGCCAACCCACTGATGTAAGCCAAGACCTCATGGAAGACGTATAATGAGACATATTGAATGTGCTGCTTTGTCATTCGTTCACTGTACTCTGTTTTGATGATTGCAGTTAGGTCTCATCATCAGCAGACACCGCCATGTTCACGTACTGTTTCTCTAGTTTCTCGTAAGCTGGTGCTTCTGTTGGCGTGTCCCTGTTTGATGTGAGGGCGTCGTAAGTGTTGACAGATGTCCCCGCACCTGTAATGGTATTATTACACATCATCCTGTGGTCGCCCAAAGTACAAACCATGCACAGTAAACCTATTTGTGACAAGATTGAGCTCGCAATAAACAATAATGGTGTTTATCCTCCTTGTGACCTCAATATTTCATGAAACAAGGACATACGATATGCATGGAACTGAAACAATCGACGATAACCAGGTGGAAACATCCGCGTTCTCAGCAGCCCCTTGTATTTGAAACCATACATCAATAAGTATCTTGACAGTCGAGTCAGATTCTCTGTGGTAACTGGAACTTGTGAACCCTTACTTTTTAAATAAGTATGCTAACTGGAAATATCAGACACCAAGGAAGATATGCATCACAAATACAAATAATTATAATGAGATAAACTTTTACAACCTTTTTTTCGTGAAATCCAAATTATAAGGACAACAATTGGATATATACCTCCTTTCTTTATGTACCTGAAATTAAGCCATTTCATTTGCCAAGGAGCGGTCACGTGTCATTCGACAGAAGCGACCCAAAGCCTATTTTGAATGTGCCTTTGTCGCTTTCTTATATAATAAACAATTATATTTTATGCCACTACATGTTTTATGAACCCGAACAAAACAACATCCACCGTGGTCTTCTTCCACAGTCAATATTGTGTTTTTTTCGGGTCCAGTAAACAAGAATGTGACTTATGTCCAGTCTATAATCCTTGTTTTACCTGACTGACGATGTTGCTGGCGACTGTGCTGAGTTGTCACGGTAGATGCAGCTACCTCATGATATCTGTATAGAAACAGTAGCGTCACATAGCAGGACATTCTATTGTGTGTGTCCATATAACATGAATTAACTTTCCTCTGTGAATTACGTTTTATCACAAATGATATAGTCTACCCTGATACAGTAATAACAGGGTACAATGAACTACACATCTGTTTCGCTTTCAATTCAGCATCAACATGTTTAAGTACTCACTTATTTTAAGTATAGCAAGAGCCAAAAGTACTTACACAGATTCCTCTTCCTTCTGCCTCGACGGATCTGGAAACACAGATCTCCCACACTGTAACAGCTTGTACCCGTGTCATGTTCGTAACAATTATTGCGTGATCAAATCATCCCAGTCATCAATAGTGTATCAATAGTGTGGTGCATGTGTGGTTACATTTTCTGTTTCATATCATTCTAACCACTCCTTACAAAAGGATGAAATATATAGGCCAACTCAAAATACAGGTATAATTAGTACATTGTAAAGAAATCGTTTGAGTAATGAAATACAGACTTAGATATATGTGCATTTCAACTGGTCAGCAACAAAACTAGTATTGTATGTGTACAATGCTTATTTTGTCAAATAAAAGAATGAACTTGTCCTTAACTGACAAATTTCATTTCGATCCAACATTATATTACAATAAGGTGCATTTAATTTAACACAAGTAAATAATTGTTTTAATGGAATATCCCATCAAACCACGTCAGTGAAATTAGATGAGCATATGGTGACCAATTATTACATGGATAGAAACCCAAGCGACACTATCACTATTGGTGTCAAGTTGTTTCTACATGAGTTGCCAAATGTGTGCAGACACAGTTATTAACTCTAAGCGAGGACTGATTTTACTGCAAGTCTCGCCCATGAGAAATGCTGTATGGATGTTATCTTAACCACAGAAGTTGCCTGAAAAAACATTCCCCAACGTCACAGCTTCAGACATCTTCCATCCTCTTCCTGATCACCTTCCAGCTATTTCTCCAAAGAGATCTTGTGTTCAGTTGACCATCCCATCCTCATTTGTTGTTGGTGCTAGATCTTGAAGAATATTCTTGGTTGGCAGTATAAAAGTAATGTGAGCCGATAGTTCGGTATCTTGTGTGCATTCAAACATTGACTGTATTTTTTCCGGTTCATTGAGGTATGAATCAAAAAACCGATGTACAAACTGTATAAATCTGTGTCCTGTCATGGTGTACATCCTGTTATGGTAAAGTCCATCTCACACATTTTCTGGTGTAGTACATTCCTTTTCAGTTTGTACGTCTTGAACACCACATGACTGCAGTTAGGGGAGTGATGAAATTGGTTGAACTTTATACGAAGTGGTCCACTTATTGTCCATACTTTGTCGCAAATACCTGGTATATTGCTGATGCGTCTTAAAGAACCTGTCCACTCACTCACTAATAATGCAAGAGTTATGTCATAATGACAAGCCGATACCAATATCAGGCTGGTACCCTAGTATCCATTTTCAAATATCACAAACATGTTAAACATGGTATCAGGATTAGGTCTCTGACTTTGTCAAACTGGTATCTCTTTCTCAGTTAAAGTTCTTTGGAGTTGGGCTTCACTTTCATCATCATCCACGTCTTAGGTTCTTACCCTCCTATTACCATGCATCGTTTATAGCTTTAGTGTTGATGTGGTAGATTTAGACGAATGCTCACATTATGTACAGCTGTAGAATGAACTTGCCACGAACACTACTGATGCGCTTCCTCAGACAACCTTCAACAGCATTGTTAAGCAACATCAGCAACATAGTTTTGTTCATGTTGTGTGTTTGCTCATATTTCGAGAGTCGTCTGAGTGAACTGTCATTCGTATCATGTGGCAATATAAACTGAGCTAGTGCTTTGTCTCAGGGAAACGTGTATCTCCTATCCTGATAAGCCATGTATACATACCATTCCTTAGTGACAGTCGCTTCTTTCTGCAGATACAAACTACGGCCAGGCACACTGCTGCAGCAGCTACTGAAACAGCAAGGCCAACGCCCACACCTGCCCCGAACGATAGCTCACCTGAACACAGAGAAAGGGATGTTAGTTTAGATAGCTTCATCTTTCGAAACAAGGTCAAATTTTAGAAGCATCCATGCCTATCGTAAGTAATAGTAATAGTGTGAATTACACACAGAGGAAATTGAATGGTGAACGTCCAGGTAAGAGCAATAAAATATTTTCACTTTGTCTATCTGATCTTGACGTGCATCATATTGTACCTGCGTCATTGTATCATCAAACCATGGAAGGAAATGAAAACTTCAACAACGATTAATGCGTAATGAAGTTTGATAATCATCTTTCTACGATCTCTGAAACATTAAGGATATGTTTATTGAAAAAAAAGTTAAAAAGTTATAAAAGTGAGCACAAACATATTCATACAATGAACAGTGAAATATAGTATCGGTCTGACATACCATTGTCGACTGCAGCAGTGAATGCTGTACATGACGCTGTCACTGGTGACGTCCTTGCAGCGCCCTCTGCAGCATAGAGCCTGAAGAAGACTGTCCTGTCTCCAGACTCAGGTAGCTGCACCTGTCTCATCATACCATCACTTGCAACAGTGGCGGAGACTGTGGTCCAGTTAGCCTGTGGCAGTCTTTGTTCAACCAGGAACCCTACGCCTCTTGTCTCATCATCAACACCCGGTGTCCACTGAAGGATGTAGCTGCCGGCTTTGTTTTGACACTGGAAGTTCTCCGGTACAGAAAGTGGTGCTGTATGTAAAGATAAAGAAAATACCATAGATTCAATAAGGAAACATGATCACATGATAATGAATTACTATAATGGTGCGTGTTTGTGTTATTTCAGTCAAAGATATATTTTGTTTCAGTTAGTTCAATTATTTAGTTCAAACCCACCTTTCTTTCCAAGTTGAAATTGCATTCGGAATCTTCCAAGTGTGTTTGTGACGTTTACATAATACACTCCATAATCCGTCTCTTCAACAATATCTGTGACAATATATGACGTCACGGCCTCGTCATACTGGCGCCATTTTGACAGGTCGACAGGTTCTGCATTACCTCCATTCTGTTTAAACCAGGTGAAGGTCGGTTGTGGAAAGGCCAGGGTGTACACCTGTATAACTGGAATACTGTTAAAAGCGGCGTTAAACCCAACTCACTCACTCACTCAACAAGTACCACCACCACATACAGATGCGCATATGTTAATCTATAGTTATACACTTACAGTCAGGAGTTAACATCAGAACGTCACTGTCTCTTCCCAAACCCCGATCCTCTGTCATGTGACAGGTGACACCTGTCGGGGTATGATTCACAACTGGAACTGTCAGACGAGCGCCCTTTGCGATGTAAGGTTTAGACCATCTATCTTCCAGGTGTAGGTGAAGGTCAGTCCATGATCTGCAGGCAGTGTTGTAGATGTAGACGAGCACGTCATTGTGACGTTCCTGCCAACCACGGGAGTTGATTGAAGTGATATGACTGGCTTGGTCGGCTCACCTGGAATGATGAGAGAATATTGCCAAACGCCGCTTCAACAATCTTGCAGGTATTCACGGCGACTTTGAATGGTTGTCGGTGCTCTAATTTTTAAAAGAGAAATACAATGTGAATATGTGAATGACTGAGTGAATGTTGTTTCAAGCTATATTGCTGTCAAAGACCCCGTGGTGGCGTCATTGTGCTCGTGTGAATGCCATATATACATCACTGGTGAATTATTGCTGGACAAATAATACTAAATCGATATCACCTGTACACAGAGGGGCTGATGTGGTGTCACTGCCCAGGATTAACTACCTCCCATTCCTATGGCCTTGCCTTGAGTTACACATACAATGTGTGCATTATTCCACCAGTGATCGCACAGTGAGTTGCATAGGCCGGTGATAACACAGAGGAACGTCGACACCTCCGATGACTTACATTTTATATGTACACATGGACTAATCGTTTAAAACAAATCCCTTGTGAACAGCGACATGTATAATTAAGCATGTAATCTGAGGACATCACGTACTGCACGTAAGAGGGTTAACGTGTGGAGGCCTGCTTGTTGTTAAGTCCCGTGCACAGCGTATATAATTACATTAGTCAGGTTGTTATTGCTAGAGTTTAACGATAACAAGACTAAAATAATCTCTTTAATGAAGGATTGGTCGGAATCTTTTTCATTCCAAAGAATAGCATACACAAGCATATCCATTCTACTGGGTTGTGTGCAGTGAAGCAGTTCAACTGTACTATCTTTATGTTAATAATTCACAAATACTTACATCTAGCACCACAAGTGATCAGGATAATAATCCACAAATGACGTATTTGGATCTCCATGAACGATTTTGCACAGACTAATATTTTGTAAACACTGCTCTAGTAACATACACCCATGTTGCTAGTCGGGAGTATGTACTTCGGGTGAGCCTTTCAACTTCCGGGTTTGACACAAAGCAACACCACATATATACCCGTCAACCACGCATGAATATCTATGTCATATTGAGGCGGTCGTTGTGTACATCACTGTGCCTGTGCAATGTGTGAGTGAGTTGGTTTAACGCCCCTTTACGCAGTATTTGGGTTATATTACGGCGTGTCAGCTTGATGTGGGAGTAAGCAACGTGACACAGATCGAATGTAGTGACACCAGCGAGGAAGGGTGTTGCGCTGACGGACCAATGATCATAATCAGTGACTATGGGCCGCAACTCTACACATTGCCTTGACTGGACTTCATTATCACAATAATCTGGGCCATGGAATCAACGCATAAGGTAGGATAACTGTACTTTCTGGACAAAGGATAGGCATAATATGAAATATCAGGAAAACATTTAAACATCACCATGAATGTTACCAGATGTGTTAATATTAATGCGAATTTATCTATGTTCATTCCCATTCAACAATTGTTTGGGACTTATAAAAAGCACTTAATGGATTATTAATGTTAAAATGTTTAAAATAACAAAATGTGTATTTAGGAGGTTTTGAAGAAGTGTTTCTTTACTATGAGCAAGTCCTTCATGAGAGATGTAGAACATAACGGCACAAATATATGATAAAAGTTTTTGCTTATACTTTCCATACTTGAATACTAGTATTTGATCATGCCAGAAGTCCAAACCTTGAACCTAGTAGAGAGGATATGTACCCTGTCATATTGCCTTCTTTTGGCAAATGTAATTTATAAAGTCAGCTGCAAGGTGAAATCATTGGACGTCAATCATTAATGTTATTAATAACAACACTTTGATAAAGTATTGAATAACAAGCCGCGTGCAGACGCACACAACTATGCACACTTAAATCCTCAACACGCGGTGTTGGTCTTATTAGTTGTACTTGATAGTATTGATAAAGGTCGTTGTCGTGCACGTGAATAGAGACGATCACGTGTACTTTTGGGATTGTAATATCCTGTATTAGGAAGAAACATTGTGTTTAGCGAGGCTTGACAACGTGTGATATGTTCCAATTGAAGCCTGCTTTTGTGACAGTGGAGTAACGTCATATATGCCAGTGACTACGAGCAGTGATATTCAGCAGTGGATGCATCTGGGACAAGGTCGGCACTCCCATTTTCCCTCACTTTCACAACTGGAATCGCTGATGTTGTAGAGGATGTTGCTATACAGCTGGCTGCAAATGACGTAGCCGTAGGCACGTACGAGTATGAATATTGTATATCATACACACATGTCGCCACACTAACTGATCAACCATTGCTGTATGAACAGAACCTATACCTAAAAACTGTGTTGTCTACCTATAAAGTAATATGACGCAGGTAGCAAACACCGTATGGCAGACAATGCATTTTTAATTTGGTGTTATATACACTGGATTCTCTCTTTCGACTAGCTCAAACATTATTGTCTTGAGTTCAGTACTCACAATTGAATATATTTGCTTCAATGTATGACAATCGTGACTGAAAGAGTTAGCTGTACTTTTTACACTCAAGACACTGGTTATTACTATTGACAAAATGTAAAAGTTTGAAGAATAATTTTGGATGATAAATACCGCCCGTCTTTATCATCGCTCAAGGCTTGGAAGTTTGTCTCTTGTAAGAATCGTGTTGATATATTTGATATCCAAAGTAACTTCTGTGAGGTTCTTTGTGTTTCCAGCTTTGGATACTGGATAATTTGTACATGTATAAGTTATTTATCATTGTCCATAATCGATGGTTGAATGATTTAGAATGTGATAAAATCTGTACATGGGTACAATGCTCGAAGCCCATTCCTGGTGTTCCCTGCCTTACTGTTGCTGGAATATAGCTAATAGTGGCATAAAACCCTACTCACTCTCTCTTCACTGAAGAAAAAAGTAGCGACAAGGCCGTCACGTTCACATGAACCTTGTGTTGCACGTGCTAATTTAACACTGCTGAAGGTGGGGAACAAACAACTCAGTCTGCATGACAATTGACATATTTATTAAAGTACATAGTTTATATATAGAAACGTTGTCGATTCATAACACAGATTAACACTTTTTTTCTTATGGTCTGTGAGTTGATTGTCACAGCTGGTGTCAGGTATTATCATAATCTTCTTGGCGCAATAGATAAACGATGTCAAGAGGCTCCAAATGAAAGAAGTAAGACTGATAATAATGTACATTTTCAAAATCATATTTATATTTTGTGCGTATACAGTTTGTTGAACAATTGTTTAGCTGAGTGAGTTAGCTAACCCTACTTTAGTGAGTATTATTATCAGGGTGTGTCAACTTTGGTGAAACTCACGAGCATTGGTATAATGCTGACAAACCTAGAATTATAAAGAGGGCGAATCTGGTATTCGAACCGAAGCTCGCAGTTTTCTGGTACGTCCAAGAAATGCAGATGTACATGGAGAACTGGGTGACGATTGGGTAGTGCTGCCCCTCAATATCATAACGATATTTCCGCACACGAGATTATAAAATAAGTTAACGCTTCATACGTACGTCAAGTCTACTATGAGGCTTTATGTGTATACTATGTCGTGGCATGTGTGTTTGTGAAGCCCGCCGTATTGTTCCATACTGCACAGCGCTTTAGTGACTGCAGCTATATCTAACCATTCTCAGAGAATAAATAATCTCTCTTAAGCTGTCTTAAAAAATGTGTATATGTATATATATGTAAATATGTATAAGTTTCTGAAAATAAGATTGCTTTGGTGAAACAATGTACATCTCTGACATCAAATATAGTTTAAGAAAAAGCAATGAAGTTGCAGTTTGGTTGCTTAGCGATTGTAGCTCTTATTGGGTAAGGAGTTTAACGCAGCTGTGCAAGAATTGTTCAGTTATATATATATGGCGTTCAAGCTTGGTGTGGGAGGAAAACTGATTTGATGAAACCCGTGAGCACTTGAATGGTGCTATAAAAGCTATAAGGTTACCACAACGAATCTGAGAGACACACGATCACGGGTTTCTGGCCATGGCACGCTAAAGTGGTGCAGCTCTGCACTTCGAATGATGGCGCCTCAGACGCTTTCAATTGGAAAGAGACAGTCAGGCGACTGATGTAAGCCAAGACCTCATGGAAGAGTAAAATGAGGCCTTGTGTGTCTTGCGAATGTGCTGCTTTGTCCTTCGTACATTGTACACTTTTTGGTCTTTGCAGTTAGGTCTCATCATCAGCAGACACCGCCATGTTCACATACTGTTTCTCTAGTTTCTCGTAAGCTGGTGCTTCAGTTGGCGTGTCCCTGTCTGATGTGAGGGCGTCGTAAGTGTTGACAGATGTCCCCGCGCCTGTAATGGTATTATTACACATCAGACTGTGGTCGCCCCCAGTACAAACCATGCACAGTAAACCTATTTGTGACAAGATTGAGCTCGCAATAAACACTAATGGTGGGAAATCAATCTTAATCCTCCTTGTGACCTCAATATTTTATGAAACTAGGACATACGACATGCATATAACTGAAACGATCGTCTTCTTCCACAGTCAATATTTTTTTTTTCGGGTCCAGTAAACAGGAATGTGACTAATGTCCAGTCTATAATCCTTGTTTTACCTGACTGACGATGTTGCTGGCGACTGTGCTGGGTTGTCACGGAAGATGCAGCTACTTCATGATATCTGTACAGAAACAGTAGGGTCACATTGCAGGATATTCTATTTCGTGTGTCCACATAACATGAACTGACTTTCATCTGCGAATTTTTTATCACAAATGATATAGTCTATACTGAAATACAGTAATAACAGAGTACAATGAACTACACATCTGTTCCGCTTTCATTTCAGCATCAACATGTTTCAATACCCAATTATTCAGGTTTAGCAAGAGCCACAAGTACTTACACAGACTCCTCTTCTTTCTGCCTCGACGGATCTGAAAACACAGATCTCACACACTATAACAGCTTGTACCCGTGTCATGTTCGTAACTATTATTATGTGATCAAATCCTCCCAGTCACCAATAGTGTATTAACAGTGTGGTGCAGCTCATGTTTATATTTTCTGTTTCATATCATTCTAACTACTCCTTACAAAAGAATTAAATACATAGGCCTACTAAAAATGCAGGTCGACAGCTATTTTGCAAATATTTTCATGTTTATAATGGAGGTGCTTATTTCCGAGAAACGTCTGAGCGTTATTCATATCATGTGTCAATATAAAATGAGCTAGTGATTTGTCTAAGGGGAGACGAACATCTCCTATCCATGCACATTGTGTTTTCATACCATTCTTCAATGACAGGCACTTCTTCCTGCAGATGCAAACAACAGCCAGGGACACTGCTACAACAGCTACTGCAACAACAAGGCCAACGCCTACTCCTGCTCCGAACGATAGCTCACCTGAACACAGAGAAAGAGATGTTAGTTTGGATAACTTCATCTATCAAAACAAAGTCATCGAGTAGAAATATGATATCCGAACGCCCACGTTAGAGAAATTATATATTTTTGCTAAGACCTTTGGTCTGTCTTGAAGTGCATCACATTTAACCTGCTTCATTGTATTCTCCAACCATGGAAGGGTTGTGAAAACTTCAAGTTTAATGATCATCTTTCCTTATTCTAATTATGAATACGTTTATTGGAGACGTTATAAACGTCAGCACAAAAAAACTCAAACGATCAACAGCTAAAATCATTATCGGTTTGAGATACCATTGTCGGCTGCAGCAGTGACTGTTGTACATGATGCCGTCACTGGTGACGTCCCTGCAGCACCCTCTGTAGCATAGAGCCTGAAGAAGACGGTCCTGTCTCCAGACTCTGGTAGCTCCACCTGTCTCATCATACCATCACTTGCAACAGTGGCGGAGACTGTGGTCCAGTTAGCCTGTGGCAGGCTTTGTTCCACCAAGAACCCTACGCCTCTTGTCTCATCATCACCACCCGGTGTCCACTGAAGGATGTAGCTGCCGGCTTTGTTTTGACACTGGAAGTTCTCCGGTACAGAAAGCGGTGCTGTATGTGATGAGGAACAAAGTATAGACTGAACAAGGAGTTTCATGATATGATCACAAGAAAACAATCACTCTAAGGGTGTGTATATGTGTGTGTTATGAGTCAAAATATAATTTGTTACAGTTGTCCTTTGCAAACATGGACACAAACAATAACATACCTTAATAAGTGTCCTATAATAGTGTTTCAGTAAAATTACTTACATTACAAGTAAAAGGCAAGTTCAATTATTTCATTCAAACCTACCTTTCTTTCCAAGTTGAAATTGCATTCGGAATCTTCCAAGTGTGTTTGTGACGTTTACATAATACACTCCATAATCCGTCTCTTCAACAATATCTGTGACAATATAAGACGTCATGGCCTCGTCATACTGGCGCCATTTTGACAGGTCGACAGGTTCTGCACTACCTCCATTCTGTTTAAACCAGGTGAAGGTCGGTTGTGGAAAGGCCAGGATGTACACCTGTAATCTGATTGGCTGTCCTATATCAACATACACGTCCCTTCCTGTGGGGTATTGGAAATTGAGCCGCGGGGAACCTTCAATGTATAAAGTAATTCTTTTCACGTGTTTCTCCCTTTTTGAAAATATTTCTTTGTCAAGTATTTTATTGCAATGACAGTGACTTTATAGTTTTATACATCAATGCAGTTTCTTTATCGAAAAGTCGTCCTTCTTGTCAAATACATTGCTTCTTGACAAGTCAGTATGAGGATATGAGTCAACATATCACCTTCTAATTTCCCATAAAATTTACGCTCAATATTGGACATACTACTTCCAGGTGGCATACGTGGCTGTAGAATATATCAATAGATGTGTGAATATCTTGGTTATTAAACCAGATACGTTTAGAGTCTCATCAAGGTACCTACATTTTATATTTACTGTTACTGATGCTGTTGTTTCACCAACTATGTTCCTTGCAAGACACGTGTAGACGCTGCCGTCAAGACAATCCGCTCCAGTCCAGTTGAAACTGGCGGTGGCTGCCTCTGTCACGTGGTTCAGTCGAATAGTGCCGTTCATGATGGAGATGCTGGAGAAAGGATTACTGTCTACTGCGCATGACAGAACCACAGAGCCTCTTTCGTCAACTCCAGCTGCATTGGACTGACCATTAGCCATTAAAACTGCAGATGGTTTATCTGAAGAGTGAAAGGAGGATTTAAATTATACCTTTACTTTCTCCGTCCGTCTTAGTTGTAATGCGACTCGTCTAAATTATGCGAACTAAGAAACATTGTGATATGTATCTTCACTTCATTTAGGATAAAATATGACAATACAACAGTGAAGTTTGGGGTTGGTGGGGTAGCCTAGTGGTTAAAGCGTTCGCTCGTTACGCCGAAGACCCGGGTTCGATTCCCCACATGGGTACAATGTGTGAAGCCCATTTCTGCTGTCCCCCGCCGTGATATTGCTGGAATATTGCTCAAAGCGGCGTAAAACCATTATCACTCACTCAAGTAAATTTGACCAACTGTGGTTTATATTCCATATTTCATACAAACTAGTTCCAGCATGTCATCATGCTTCATTCACTTTAATAATCATTCTCAGCACGTCGTGAAGTTTACAATGGATCGTAAAAGGCGACCAGAGGGATTGGGTGATCAGACGTCGTGATCTTTGGTTGTTTGTCATGTTATCACTCATGATGCTCATGATGTCAATTACTGTATTGTCTGATCCAGACTCTATTTTATTATACATGATTTGTTTGTTGTTTAACGCCAGTTGTTGTTGAATCGTTTCTGGACCAGACAATCCAGTGATTGAAATCATGAGCATCGATCTACGCAAGTCAGAGGGCCAGATCCCGTTCTTCGCCTCTTATCACAAGCATGGTTTTCTCTAACAAGAAATACAGCCATACATACATTGGACATCAAGTGAAACAGCAGGACTCTGTATTGTGCCATATACGTTAGTCGCCGTGCACACGTAGCTGCCAGCCATGGTCCTGTTTGCTGCTCCAAGACTGAGGACCTGTCCAGTCACGACTCTCTGAGATCCTTGTTTCCAGGAATATGAGCATGCAGGTCGACACGTGCTGACACACGTCACCTGGGGTACGACGTCAGCCTCCCTGACTTGTACAGATGTTGGCGAGATGCTGACATTGTACGGAGGATCTGTAAGATCAGTGCTACGAATCAATTCAAACGCAAAAACTTGGTTTTTAGTTACATAAACGAAAGTTATTGCAATTCGATTGTAAAGTCAAATAATTAGAAATAAAACTCAATACTGAATACCTTCTTGTATCGTCAAGGAGAAACAAATGTGTCGTTTTAGAATAAGAATATATATAGTGTTACACTATAATCAATTCAAACTCAAAGCCTTGTTTTAGATATATTACAAACCAAGCAACACTTTCAGACATGTACAGTAGTCTATTTATAAAAGTAACTTGACACGTGCCTTCAAAAATAGCATATTCATGATTACAGGGTATTTATGACTTTTGTTCAGCAAGTAATTTTTCACTATTGAGTATTAATATATACACTATAAACCTTCCACTTTGTGCTGTACAGGCAAGTTAGGAACAGTATAATCCATCTTTGTTCAGCTTAATTGAATCTGAATATTGTTCAGAGTGACGGTAACCTGACACTGAAGACATTCCACTGTGGTTACACTGTCTAACAACAAGTACCACCACCACATACAGATGCGTATCTGTCAATCTATAGTTATATACTTACAGTCAGGAGTAAACATCAGAACGTCACTGTCTCTTCCCAAACCCCGATCCTCTGTCACGTGACAGGTGACACCAGGTGGGTTATGACTGTCAACCGGAACTGTTAGACTAGCGCCAACTGGGAAGGTAATGTTGAGACCATCTATCTTCCAGGTGTAGGTGAAGGTCAGTCCATGATCTGCAGGCACTGTTGTAGATGTAGACGAGCACGTCATTGTGACGGTCCTGTCAACCACGGGAGTAGATTGAAGTGATATGACTGGCTTGGTCGGCTCACCTGGAATGATGAGAGAATATTGCCAAACGCTGCTTCAACAATCTTGCACACGGCGACTTTGAATGGTTGTCGGTGCTCTAATTTTTAAAAGAGAAATGCAATGTGAATATGTGAATGACTGAGTGAATGTTGTTTCAAGCTATATCAAGTGAATACTCGAATCTGGGTCCGGCAAGCCAGTTGTAGTCAAGCCATCAGGTGATTAAATATAATGAGCCATGCCACACGTGATGAAGGTTAATCCTCATTTCATTTTGCGGCTTTTGTCAAGAATTAGACTCTTTATGATAATACTCTCTGAATAACTTTATATGATTTGATGCTGTCAGATGGATGTTGTGTTTGGAATTGTGCCTGTGCATTTGCCCTTTACCTCGCTGATGAACATGGATTAATGGATTAATCAAACGAAATTATTCACTTATCAGATTTTAAAGAACATACCAATGACAATAAGTTTCAAGCCACAGCCCTGTATCAAATCAGAAGCAGCCCCATTGCCACAGGTGTACTGTCCAGCATCCGATCTTGATATATTCTGCAGGACAAATGTGATGTTCCCAGAGGAATAGCTGCCTTCAAACACTATTCTATCTTTGTAAGGATTTGTGGCGACAAATGTTCCCGATGATAATACAATAAAGGCTATCACACCACTTGGTGTAACAAATAAGAATGACGATCCTGTCCCAAGACCACTTTGTGGGATGATGAAGCTGATTGTACTGTTATCTCCAGGGGAGGTGATGGCTGTAGTCTGACTCTCAGCACCTGAGGATGGAAATATTGGGCTAAAAGTGGAATTGCATTGCTATACACTCACCTAGAACAATGAGCGTCTGTCCACAGTTCGGAATGATATCAGTCACTCCTCCTCTACCACACGCGTACGTCCCAGCGTCAGATCTGCCGACATTGCTCATATCAAAGGACACAAGCCCTGCCGACAAGTTCCCACTGAAGTTGACACGGGCTTCATATGAAGGAAGAATCTGGTGCCGGTTTAATCTGTTAGCGAGGAGGATGCCAGTTCCATTGGGGTTTAGCACATACATTAGACTGACCGATGCCCCTTCGGGTAACTGCCACCTGAATCTGGCCGTCTCCGCCTCTCTAACGATAACACTCTCACCATCTGTGACTAGAAAAAGTCGACTTTTCAACATATTAAACACAAATACCTAAACATTTCAAACATGTATAAAACCTGTGTAAGTGCAATTTGAGAATGTGAAATATCGCGAAGGAGTCCGTGCAATCTCAACGACAACTTTAACATAAAGTCAGTAAGCCTGCTAAGCATGCTCTGTTCAGGTGGGTCCTGCCACACTGTTTATCTGCAACAGTGAGGAATTTATGAATGTTTTCAAGTTGTTTTAAATTTTATATAAAAATTCAATAGAATTTGCACAAAACTGTTTCCTGTTTGTGTTATACAGTTTTGTTAACAATGGTAGTATTCGTGGTATTCTCTCTTACCTGTTCTTCGTTTAGGCCGGGTTAATGAATAGCACATGTATTCCATGTTAGTGGGAATCTTATTTATGATATTGAGGATTGCTTTGCTGACTGGAACATATGCTTCAATGAGAATGTACCTCGTGGTGTCGTACGGCTTCCATTGCGTTTTGAGAGCTGATGATGAGGGGTTGTACTTAAGAGAGTGGTCATGAGATTAGCATGTATATTGTTTGTAGAAAGATCCAATGTCATTATTGCATAGATTGGTTAGTATTATATGTGAGCTAAAGTTCCAGCCAAAAACGTCAATTGAACATGCGAAAGTGGTTGTCATCAATGTAATACTACTTATTTCTTGTTAATGTGACGAGATAGGTATCGGTTATCTCCCTTTGTTTTGTACTGAATGTGTGATACCACTGTAACATGTTCTATACTTTGTTATTCCTAAATGTGATAAATTCATGCAGTTTTTGCGAAATCTTGGTGTTTTAGCTGTCACATCCATTCAAATTCTCTTTGTCACAGCGTCATGTGAAAAGGCGTTTAAATATGCTACGGAATCGAAATATCATGATTCTGGAAAGTGAAAAGGGGCAGTTGATTCTTCTTTCGGACGGAATCACCAGATTCGAGTGACTTCTGTGACTTAAACTATGTTATGGTTGATATTAATTTCTCTATGCTTTGCATTATGACCTATAGTAACGTGAGTTTTACTTGCTTAAAATGCACGTTCAGTTTGGCTAGTATATTGCTGGCGCACAATTAACTGCAGCAACAAGAGCGTGACCTCACAAATACGCCACCACTCCTGCCCACCCAACCCATCACACACACACACACACACACACACACACACACACACACACGTACATATACACGCGCACAAACACGCGAACGCACGCGCTAACACGTACACACACACACACACACGTACACACACACACACACACGTACACACACACACACACACACACACACACACACACACACAAACACACAAACACACACACACAAACACACACACACACACGTAAGCACACACACACACACACACACGCACGTACACACACACACGCCCACACGCTCTCACACACACACATACACACACACACGCCCACACACACATGCATGTAAAAGGGTTGGTGGTGTGTTTCAGGGTTAGTGGTTGGAAATAGTCAGAACGTCGCTTGTACCTGTGACCTACATTGCTGTCAAAAACCCCGTGGTGTCCGCATTGTGCTCCTGTGAATGCCATAATTATACACATAACTGGTGAATTATTGCTGGACAAATAATATTAAAGCGATATCACCTGTACACAGAGGGGCTGATATGGTGTCACTGCCCGGGGATTAACTTCCTCTCATTTCTATGCATCTTTACATACATGGCTTAGCATTCAATTATACATACAATGAGTGCGTTATTGCACAGTGAGTTGTATATGCAGGTATTAACACTGGTGAATACGGGACAGAGGAACGTCGACACCTCCGATTACCTACATGTTATATGTACACATCGTCCAACCGTTTAGAACAAATCCCTTGTGAACAGCGATTTGTATAATTAAGCATGTAACCTGAGGACATCACGTACTGCACGTTAGAGGGTTAATGCGTGGAGGTCTGCTTGTTGTAAAGTCCTGTGCACAGCGTATATAATTACCTTAGTAAGTTTGTTAGAGTTTAACGATCACAAGACTAAAATAATCTCTTTAATGAAGGATTGGTTGTAATCTTTTCCATTCCAAAGAATAGGATTCAGGAGAATGTACATTCTACTGTACAGCATACACAAGTATATACATTCTACTGGGTTGTGTGCAGTGAAGCAGTTCAACTGTACTATCTTTATGTTAATAATTCACAAATACTTACATCTAGCACCACATGAGATCAGGATAATAATCCACAAATGACGTATTTGGATCTCCATGAACTATTTTGCACAGACTTATATTTTGTAAACACTGCTCTACTAACATACACAAATGTTGGTAGTCGGGAGTACGTACTTCGGGTAAGCATTTCAACTTCCGGGTTTGACACAAAGCAACACCACATATATACCCGTCAACCACGCATGAATATCTATGTCATATTGAGGCGGTCGTTGTGTACATCGATCGCCTCCGTCGTCTAGTGGTAGAGCGTCCGCCCGGAGAGTGGAAGGTCCGGGGTTTGATCCCCGACCGCGTCATACCAAAAGACGTAAAAAGATGGTACTTGTTGTTACCCTGTCTGGCACTTTCATTTAGGGGCTTAAACAAGGACTGGTAAGAAAACTGTGTCTGAGTGAGGTATTCATGTTAAACTGCGGCATGGTATCTCTGTGAGCTAGCACTATAAATCGGCATCAGTCCGGACTAGTACGAGCAGCCACACAAACACACACATACATGCACGTCGCTATATAAGTACAATAATCTTGGACGCGACGTTAAACCCCATTTCACCACACCTCACCGCCTGTGCAATGTGTGAGTGAGTTGGTTTAACGCCGCTTTACGCAGAATTCAGGTTATAGTACGGCGTGTCATCTTGATGTGGGAGAAAGCAACGTGACACAGATCGATTTTAGTGAAACCAGCGAGGAAGGGTGTTTTGCTGACAGACCAATGATCATAATCAATGAGAATAGGAGATCCTGGGACGACTGTGGGACGCAACCCTACACATTGCCTTGATTGACTTGGCCACTTGAACATTCGACTTCATTATCACAATATTCTGGGCCATGGAATATACGCATAAAGTAGGATAACTATCCTTTCTGGACAAAGGATAGGCATAATATGAAATATCAGGAAAACATTTAAACATCATCATGAATGTTACCAGATGTGTTAATATTGTTGTGAATTAAACTTTGTTCATTTCATTTCAACAAAAGCGTGTTTGGCACTTAATACATTATTAAGGCTAAAATGTTTAAAGTAACACAATGCATATTTAGGAGGTTTTCAAGAAGTATTTCTTTACTATGAGCAAGACCTTTATGAAAGATGTAGAACATAAAGGCACAAAACTATGATAAAAAGGCTAACTTGGATCACGACCTTTCTCATACTTAGATACTGAAAAAGTTGTTTTTGCTCATACTATCCATACTTGAATACTAGTATTTGATCATGCCAGAAGTCCAAACCTTGAACCTAGAAGAAAGGATATGTACCATGTCATATTGCCTTCTTTTGACAAATATAATTTATAAAGTCTGCTACAAGGTGAAATGAATGGACGTCAATCATTAATGCTATAAACAACAACACTTTGATAAAGTTTTGAATAAAAATCCGCGTGAAGACGCACACAACTATGCACACTTAAATCCTCCAACCGCGGCGTTGGTCTTATTAGTTATACTTGATAGTATTGATATAGGTAGTTGTAGTGCACGTGAATAGAGGCGATGCCGTGTACTTTTGAGATTGTAATATCCGGTATTAGGAAGAAACATTGTGTTTAGCGAGGCTTGACAACATGTGATATGTTCCAATTGCAGCCGTTTTTTGTGACAGTGGAGTAACTTCATATCAGCCGGTGACTACGAGCGGTGATATTCAGCAGTGGATGCATCTCGGACAAGGTCGGTACTGCCGTTTCCCCTCACTTTCACAACTGGAATCGCTGATGTTGTAGAGGATGTTGCTGTACAGCTGGCTGCAAATGACGTAGCCGTATGAAGAGTTCCTGGGCACGTACGAGTATAAATATTGTATATCAAACACACATGTATCTCATTTCGCCAAACTAACAGATCAAACATTGCTGTATGAACAGAACCTATAGCTAAAAACTATGTTGTCTACCATGAAAGTCATCTGACCCAGTTAGCAAACGTCGTATGACCGACAATGCATTTTTAGTTTGGTTTTATATACACTTGATCCTCTCTTTCGACTAGCGCAAACATTATTGTTGAAAGTTCAATACTCACAGTTGAATATATTTGCTTCATTGTATGACAATGTTGACTGAAATAGTTATTGTTCAGCAAAAGTGTCTTGATACGACTCAAATAAACATAAATCATGACACATTAGTTTGTTTTTATGTTGATCAAATGATTGTTTAACCAGGGAGAGTTGAGTGAATATTTGTTCTTTTATGTACATATATCCAAACACACTATTGTAAAATCTTCAGTTACATGGACATCACAATCAAATGACATCAATACTCTCTGCTACTGAAGATGGTTAGCTGTATTTGTTACACTCAAGACACTAGTTATTACTGTTTACAAAATGTAAAAGTTGGAAGAATGATTTTGGATGATAAATAAAATCTCACCCAACTGTCTTGACCATCGCTCAAGCCTTGGAATTTTACACATTTAAGACCCGTGTTTATATTTTTGACGTCAAAAGACGCTCAGGTGAGATTCTTTGTGTTTCCAGCCTTGGGGGAATGTTATGTAAGGATACTGGAGAATATATGTAATATTTGTACATATACATGGATATGTTATTATCATTGTGTATAATCACTGGGTGAATGGTTAATAATGTGATAAATTCTGATTCTGTTCTGTGCATAGATGATCTGGAAACCTGTAAATAATATTTAAATTAAATATATTGAACTCTAGTTAATATCTTCTGTGTGTTTTTCATAATGAACATAATGAACTCAATGGATCTGTTGTCGCATACCATGACTGTGATTTTGGATGATAAACACTCGCCTGTCTTTATCATCGCTCAAGCCTTGGAAGTTTTTCTCTTGTAAGAATCGTGTTGATATATTTCATATCAAAAGACACTTCGGTGAGATTCTCTGTGTTTCAAGCTTTGGGGGAATGTTATGTAAGGATACTGGAGAATTTGTACATGTATAAGTTATTTATCATTGTGCATAATCGGTGGGTGAATAATTTAGAATGTGATAAAATCTGTACATGGGTACAATGTGTGAAGCCCATTCCTGGTGTCCCCCGCCGTACCATTGATGGAATATAGCTAAAAATGATATAAAAACATACTCACTCATTTTCACTGAAGAACAAAGTAGCTTCAAGGCCGTCACGTTCACATGAACCTTGTGTTGTACGTGCGAATTTAACACTGCAGAAGGTGGGGAACAAACAACTCAGTCTGCTTGACAATTGACATATTTATTAAAGTACATAGTTTATATAGTAATGTTGTAGATTTATAACAGAGATTTTCTTATGGTCTGTCTTGTCAAACCTCGAGAAGAAAATATGATGAATAACCAGCTGTTAAAACTGTGATCGTTGCCAAACACCAACATAATAAACGGGAAGGAGAATCATCCTGAACTTAGTGTCTGGAAACAGAGGGGAGGGGAAATGGGGTTTAAAAAGACTTTCATGATCATTGCACTGCATAGCGACGTACACGTATGTGTATGTGTCGCTGCATGTACGAATCTAGACTTATGCCAGTTATATAGTGCTGGTGTGAAGAGATACTCAGGCATATTGTACTGTATCTCCTTATTGCCGAGTGCCAGGCAGGGTAACAACAAGTACCATCATGTCATGTCTTCTGAAACCACTGACATTCCGTTTGACCACGCAGGCAATCACGGAAACAAGATACACTCAATGCTTATTGCATTTTAGGAAAAAACTGGAAGCAATGATGTTTCTAATAGTGGGAAACATTCGGATCGTGTCATAGGCTCTGTGAGTTGATCGTCACAGCTTGTGTCAGGTATTATCATAATCTTCTTGTTGCAACAGGTAACGGATATCAAGAGGCTCCAAATGAAAGAAGTGAGTTAGCTAACCGTGCTTTGGTGACTATTATTATCAGGGCTAGTCAACTTTGGTGAAACTCACGAGCATGGGTATGGTGCTGATGAACCTAGAATTATAAAGACGGCGAATCTGGTATTCGAACCGAAGGTCGTAGTTTTCTGGTACGTCCAAGAAATGCAGATTTACATCGAGAACTTGGTGACGATTGGGTAATGTTGCCCCTCAACCATAACGATAATTCCGCACACGAGATTGGAAAATAAGTTAACGCTTCATACGAACGTCAAGTCAACTATGAGGCTTCATGTGTATACTATGTCGTGGCATGTGTGTTTGTGAAACCTGCCGTATTGTTCCCTACTGCACAGCGCTTTAGTGACTGCAGCTATATCTAACCATCCTCAGAGAATACATAATCTCTCTTAAGCTGTCTTTAAAGATATGTATATGTATATACATTTAAATATGTATAAGTTTCTGAAAATAAGATTGGTTTGGTGAAACAATGTACGTCTCGGAAATCAAATATAGTTTAAGAAAAAACAATGTAGTTGCAGTTTGGTTGCTTAGCGATTGTAGCTCTTATTGGGTAATGAGTTTAACGCAGCTGTGTAAGAATTGTTCAGTTATATATATATGGCGTTAAAGCTTGGTGTAGGAGGAAAACTGATTTGATGAAACCCGTGAGCACTGGTATGGTGCTGAAAAGCTACGAAAGGTAACCACAACGAATCTGAGAGACACACGATCACGGGTTCCTTGCACGCCAAAGTGGTGCAGCTCTGCACTTCGAATGATGGCGCTTCAGACGCTTTCAATTGGAAAGAGAGAGTGAAGCGACTGATGTAAGCCAAGACCTCATGGAAGACGTACAATGAGGCCTTGTGTGTCTTGTGAATGTGCTGCTTTGTCCTTCGTACACTGTACACTGTTTTGATGATTGCACTTAGGTCTCATCATCAGCAGACACCGCCATGTTCACGTACTGTTTCTCTAGTTTCTCGTAAGCTGGTGCTTCTGTTGGCGTGTCCCTGTCAGATGTGAGGGCATCGTAAGTGCTGCCAGATGTCCCCGCGCCTGAAATGGTATTATTACACATCATCCTGTGGTCACTTCGAGTCGAACCATGCACTCTTCAGTAAACCTATATGTGACAAGATTAAGCTTGCAATGAACGCTAAGAGTGGGTATCAGTCTTAAAACTCTTCGTATTTAAGTTGCCTCGATATTATATAAAACAAGGACATACGTCATGCATATAACTGAAACGATCGACGATAATCAGGTGGAAACATTCACGTTCTCAACAGCTACTTGTATCTGAAACCTTACATGAATAATTTCTCTGTTATGTATCTTTGACAGTCTAACCAAGTTCACTATGGTTACTAGAGCTTGTGGACGCGCCCTTACTTGTAAACAGATATGCTAACATTATCAGAAACCAATGAAGATATGCCTTACGAATGCAAAAAATAATAATAATGAAATGTACTTTTTACATCTTTCTCCGTTTGTGAATTTCAAATTATACAGTACAACAATACACCCTTGTTTGACGAGGATTGGATATGTATCTTTTTTTTTTAAACACATGAAATTTATCGCCATATTGGTCAAGGAGCGGGCACGTGTCATTGCGAATGACTCCAAGCAAATTGTGAATGTGCCTTTGTGCCTTTGTTAAATAAATAATTATAGAATGTATCTGTGGCCACTGCGTTTTTTTTGGACCCGAACAAAATAACATCAACAGCGGACTTCTTCCATGGTCAATATTGTTTTATTCAGGTCCAATAAACAGATATTTAACTTATATAAAGTCTACAATCCTTGTTGTACCTGACTGAGGATGTTGCTGACGACTGTGCTGGGTTGTCACGGTAGACGCAGCTACTTCATGATATCTGTACAGAAACAGTAGGGTCACATTGCAGGATATTCTATTTCGTGTGTCCACATAACATGAATTAACTTTCCTCTGCGAATTACGTTTTATCACAAGTGATATAGTCTATACTGAAATACATTAATAACAGAGTACAAGGATCTACACATCTGTTCCGCTTTCAATTCAGTGATAACATGTTTCAGTTCTCACTTATTTAAGTATAGCAAGAGCCACAAGTACTTACACAGACTCCTCTTCTTTCTGCCTCGACGGATCTGAAAACAGATCTCACACATTATAACAGCTTGTACCCGTGTCATGTTCTTAACTATTATTGTGTGATCAAATCCCCCCCAGTCATCAATAATGTATCAACAGTGTGGTGCAGTACATGTTTACATTTTCTGCTTCATATCATTCTAACCACTCCTTACAAAAGAATTAAATATATAGGCCTGCTCAAAATACAGGTATAATTAGTACATTATAAAGTAATCGTTTGAGTGATGAAATACAGACTTAGATACATGTATATGTGCATTTCAACTGGTCAGCAACAAAACTAGTATTGTATGTGTACAATGCTTATTTTGTTAAATAAAAGAATGAACTTGTCCTCAACTGACATATTTTTCATTTCGATCCGACATTATATTACAATAATGTGCATTCAATTTAACACAAGTATAATAATTTGTTTCAATGAAATATCCCATCAAACCAAACCCACGTCAGGGAAACTAGACGAGCATATGGTGACCCATTATTACATGGATAGAAACCCAAGCGACACTATCAGGATTGGTGTCAAGTTGTTTCTACATGAGTTGTCCAATGTGTGCAGACACAGTTGTTAACTCTACGCGATGACTGATTGTACTGAGAAATGCTGTATGGACGTTATCTTCACCACAAGGATGCACCAACAGTCAAGTGAATACTTGCATCCAAGAACACATGAAGCTGCCTGAAAATATCATTTCCCAACGTCACAGCTTCAGACATCTTCCATCCTCTTCCTGATCACCTTCCAGCTATTTCTCCAAAGAGATCTTGTGTTCAGTTGACCATCCCATCCTAAGTTTTTGTTGGTTCATAGATTTTGAAGAATATTCTTGGCTGGCAGTATAAAAGTACGCTTCTGATAGTTCGATATCTCGTGTGCATTTATGGATGGACTGTGTACTTTTTTCTGTATTTTCTCCGGTTCATTGAGGTATGAATCGAAAACCCGTTGTGCAAACTGTATAAATCCGTGTAACGGATTCTTACAAAAGTCCTCTTATGGTGTACATCCTGTCATGGTGTAGTCTTGTTCACAAGGTACTGTTCCAATGTAACACTCACTGAAGTCCATCACACATTTTCTGGTGTAGTACATTCCTTTTCAGTTTGTACGTCTTGAACACCACATGGCTGCAGTTAGGGGAGTGATGAAATGGGTTGAACTGTATACGAAGTGGTCCACTTACTGTCCATACTTTGTCGCGAATAGCTTGAATATTGCTGAAGCGTCTTAAAGAAACTGACCACTCACTCACTATCCATACATGTCTGATAATGCAAGTGTTATGTCATATTGACAAGCCGACAGGCTGGTACCCTGGTATCCTATTTGAAATATCACAAACATGTTAAACATGGTATCAGGATTAGGTGCCTGACTATGTCCAACTGGTATCTCTTTCTCAGTTAAAGTTATATGTTATAAAGTCTTATGTTCCTACCCTTCTATTACCATGACATCGTTTATAGCTTTAGTGTTGATGTGGTAGATTTAGACGAATGTTCACATTATGTACAGCTGTAGAATGAACTTGCCACGAACATTACTGATCCGCTTCCTCAGACAACTTTCAACTGGATTGTTAAGCAACATCAGCAACATAGTTTTGTTCATGTTGTGTGTTCTCTCATATTTCGAGAGTCGTCTGAGTGAACTGTCATCCATATCATGTGGCAATATAAACTGAGCTAGTGCTTTGTCTCAGGGAAACGTGTATCTCCTATCCTGATCATGATGAGCCATATATACATACCATTCTTCAGTGACAGTCGCTTCTTCCTGCAGACACAAACTACAGCCAGGCACACTGCTGCAGCAGCTACTGCAACAACAAGGCCAACGCCCACTCCTGCACCGAACGATAGCTCACCTGAACACGGAGAAAGAGATGTTAGTTTGGATAGTCAAAGGGTAGAAGCATGATATCGGAGCCTATCGTAAGTAATAGTATTTGAATTACACACAGAGGAAATTGAATGTCGAACGTCCAGGTAAGAGCAATGAAATATTTTCACTTTGTCTATCTGATGTTTACTTGCATCATATTTTACCTACGTCATTGTATACTCAAACCATGGAAGGAAATGAAAACTTCAACAATGATTAAAGCATAATGAAGTTTGATGATCATCTTTTTACGATCGTCGAAAAATTAAGGATACTTTTATTGGAAAGATTATAAAAGTGAGCACAAAAATATTCATACAATGAACAGTGAAATATAGTATCGGTCTGACATACCATTGTCGACTGCAACAGTGAATGCTGTACATGACGCTGTCACTGGGGACGTCCTTGCAGCACCCTCTGTAGCATAGAGCCTGAAGAAGGCGGTCCTGTCTCCAGTTTAAGGTAGCTGCACCTGTCTCATCATACCATCACTTTCAACAGTGGCGGAGACTGTGGTCCAGTTAGCCTGTGGCAGTCTTTGTTCCACCAGGAACCCTACACCTCTTGTCTCATCATCACCACCCGGTGTCCACTGAAGGATGTAGCTGCCGGCTTTGTTTTGACACTGGAAGTTCTCCGGTACAGAAAGCGGTGCTGTATGTGATGAGGAACATATCATGGATTGAATAAGGAACCGACGTGGAGATTTGATCACATGAAAAAAATCACTATAATGGTGTGTCTATGTGTTTTGTTTCAGTTATTATTTTTTAAAACATGGACACAAATAATAACATACCTAAATAAGTTGTGTTTCCGTAAAACGACTTTACGTAAAATTTTAGTTCAATTATTTCATTCAAACCCACCTTTCTTTCCAAGTTGAAATTGAATTCGGAACCTTCCAAGTGTGTTTGTGACGTTTACATAATACACTCCATAATCCGTCTCTTCAACAATATATGTGACAATATATGACGTCATGGCCTTGGCATTACACAGCGTTTACACTGTCTAACAACAAGTACTACCACCACATACAGATGAGTATCTGGTAATCTATAGTTATATACTTACAGTCAGGAGTTAACATCAGAACGTCACTGTCTCTTCCCAGGCCCTTATCCTCTGTCACGTGACAGGTGATACCTTGTGGGCCATGACTCTCAACCGGAACTGTAAGACTAGCGCCATCTGACGAGGTAATGTTGAGACCATCTATCTTCCAGGTGTAGGTGAAGGTCAGTCCATGATCTGCAGGTAGTGTTGTAGATGTAGATGAGCACGTCATTGTGACGTTCCTGCCAACCACGGGAGTAGATTGAAGTGATATGACTGGCTTGGTCGGCTCACCTGGAATGATTGTTGACACTCTTTTACAAGAAACACACACACCGTATGACAAGGAATGTACAATCTAGTATACAATCTACTGTGATAGGTCGTTTAATCTGTCATGATGGCTTGTACGCATCATTGCTATGTCCCTCAATTCCTTCTTAATTGTATAACGTTATTACTGTCACAAAGGAGCCCTGAAACGATGTGTGTGTATAATACAGAAGCTAGTGTCCAGAATACTGCTTGCATCCAACACCTTAGTGTCCATGAAGACTCTAAATCACACACATTGTAATTTGATGTTGTTACTATACCTTAGTGCACTACACTCGAACTTTATAACAGTTTCCTGTTTATTAACAATTGACATCAGCCCAATAATCCAAACAATCAGGTGAGGGTGACACACAATTCTCGTGCTACAGATACAAATTCATATCCCACAGCTGTTCTATGTGTATGCACATGGTTGTGGAAACAGGATCTAACTTTACCTCGCTAGCTATCATGGATTATGAATATCAACATGTATTGATTTATCAAATGTAAACAACATACTATAAGCTTCAAGCCACATCAGTATCTGATTGCTAGAACCTGCTTTGCTACAATAATAATGTCCTGCATCTGATCTTGTAATATTCTTCAGCACAAATGTGATGTTCCTCGAGGAATAGCTGCCTTCAAAAACTACTCTTTCTTTATATTGATCTGTGGCTAGGAATACGTCCGATGCTGTAAGAATAAAGGCTGTTATCCCATTTGGTGTAACAAAGTAGAATGAAGTTCCTATCCCAAGACCACCTTGTGGGATGATGAAGCTGATTGTGCTGTTATCACCAGAGGAGGCGATGGTTGTAGTCTGACTCTCAGCGGCTGATGAAAATATGGGTCTAAAAATCGAATTGCATTGATATACACTCACCTAGTACAATGAGCGTCTGTCCACAGTTCGGAATGATATCAGTCATTCTTCCGTTACCACACGTGTAAGTCCCAGCGTCAGACCTGCTTACATTGCTCATATCAAAGGACACAAGCCCCGCCGACAGGTCCCCAGTGTAGTTGACACGGGCTTCATATAGAGAAAGAACAAGGTGTCGGCTTGGTCCGTAAATGAGGAGGACGCCAGTTCCATTTGGGTTTAGCACATGTATTGCAAAGACAGTTGCCCCTCGTGGCAGCTGCCACCTGAATCTGGCCGTGCCCGTCTCTCTAACGATGACACTCTCACCATCTGTGACTAGAAAAACTCGACTTTTCAACATATTAAACACAAATACCCTAACGTTTTAAATACGTATAAAACCCGGGTAAGTGCAATTTGAGAATGTGAAATATCACGGACGAGCCTGCAAATCTCAACGACCACTTTAACATATGGTCAGTTAGCCTGCTAAGCATGCTTTGTGCAGGTGGGTCCTGCTATACATGCAAACACTGTTTATCTGCAACATTGAGGAACTTATGGATGTTTTCAAGTTGTATTTTATTATATATAAATATTCAATAATTAATGCACAAAACCGTTTCTTGTTTGTGTTATACAGTTTAGTTGACAACGGTATTATTCATGGTATTCTCTCTTACCTGTTCTTCGTTTAGGCCAGGTTAATGATTAGCACATGCGTTTCATATTAGTTGAGTTGTTATTTATGATATTTTGGAATTTGATTTGCTGATTGGGTCATCTACTTCCATGAGATTAGCATATAATTTTTTTGTAGAAAGTCCAATGTTATTATGGCGTAGAATGGATAGTTTTACATTTGAACTAAAGTTCTAGCCAAAAACGTCTCTTGAATATGTGAAAGTGGTTGTCATCAATGTAATACTATGTATTTCCTCTTAAATGTAACAAGTTTGATATCGGTTATCTCCCTTTGTTTTGCATTTAATCTGTGGTACCACTGTGGCATGTGCTATACAGTGTTATTTCTAAATGTGATAAATTCAATATTATTATGTTCACAGGGTATTCTTCTTCGACTTTTCTAATACTTCATCAAAAGACGTGTAAATATGCACCGAATCGAAATATGATGAAAATCTGTTGGTTCCCGGGGATTAACTTCCTCACATTTCTATGCATCTTTACATGCCTTGAATTACACATACAATGGGTGCGTTATTCCACCAGTGATCGCACATTGAGTTGTATAGGCCGGTATTAACACTGGTGAATACGGGACAAAGGAACGTCAACACCTCCGATGACTTACATGTTATATGTACACATCGTCCAATCGTTAAAAACAAAACCCTTGTGAACAGCGACATGTATAATTAAGCATGTAGTCTGAGGACATCACGTACTGCACGTTAGAGGGTTAACGTGTCGAGGCCTGCTTGTCGTTAAGTCCTGTGCACAGCGTATATAATTACGTTCGTTAAGTTGTTATTGCTAGAGTTAAACGATCACAAGACTAAAATAATCTCTTTAATGAAGGATCTTTCCGAATCGTTTTCATCCAAAGAATAGCATACACAAGCATATACGTTCTACTGTACAGCATACACAAGCATATACGTTCTACTGTACAGCATACAAGAGGATATACATTCTACTGTACAGCATACACTAGCATATACATTCTACTGTACATCATAGACAAGCATATACATTCTACTCTACATCATACACAAGCATATACATTCTACTGTACATCATACACAAGCATATACATCCTTCTGTACAGCATATACGAGCATATACATTCCACTGTTCATCATACACAAGCATATACATTCTACTGTACATCATACACAAGCATATACATTCTACTGTACATCATACACAAACATATACATTCTACTGTACAGCATACACAAGCATATACATCCTTCTGTACAGCATACACAAGCATATCCATTCTACTGTACAGCATACACGAGCATATACATTCTACTGTACAGCATACACGAGCATATACATTCTACTGTACATCATACACAAGCATATACATTCTACCGTACATCATACACAAGCATATACATTCTACTGTACAGCAAATACAAGCATATACATCCTTCTGTACAGCATACACAAGCATATACATGCTAATGTACAGCATACACAAGCATATACATTGTACTGCACAGCATACACAAGCATATACATTCTACTTTACAGCATACATAAGCAGATACATCCTACTGTACAGCATACACGAGCATATACGTTCTACTGTACAGTTTATACGAGCATATACATTCTACTGTACAGCATACACGAGCATATACATTCTAATGTACAGCATACACGAGCAGATACATTCTACTGTACAGCATACACGAGCACATACATTCTACTGTACAACATACATGAGCATATACATTCTACTGTACAGCATACACAAACATATACATTCTACTGTACAGCATACACGAGCACATACATTCTAATGTACAGCATACACAAGCACATACATTCTACTGTACAACATACATGAGCATATGCGTTCTTCTGTACAGCATACACAAGCATATACATCCTTCTGTACAGCATACACTAGCATATACGTTCTACTGTACAGCATACACAAGCATATACGTTCTACTGTACAGCATACAAGAGGATATACAATCTACTGTACAGAATACACAAGCATATACATTCTACTGTACATCATACACAAGCATATACATTCTACTCTACATCAAACACAAGCATATACATTCTACTGTACAGCAAACACAAGTATATACATCCTTCTGTACAGCATGTACGAGCATATACATTCTACTGTACATCATACACAAGCATATACATTCTACTGTACATCATACACAAGCATATACATTCTACTGTACAGCATACACAAGCATATACATCCTTCTGTACATCATACACAAGCATATCCATTCTACTGTACAGCATACACGAGCATATACATTCTACTGTACAGCATACACAAGCATATACATTCTACTGTACATCATACACAAGCATATACATTCTACTGTACAGAATACACAAGCATATACATTCTACTGTACAGCAAACACAAGAATATACATCCTTCTGTACAGCATACACAAGCATATACATGCTAATGTAAAGCATACACAAGCATATACATTCTACTGTACAGCAAACACAAGCATATACATCCTTCTGTACAGCATACACAAGCATATACATTCTATTGTACAGCATACACGAGCATATACGTTCTACTGTACAGCATACACAAGCATATACATCCTTCTGTACAGCATACACGAGCATATACGTTCTACTGTACAGCATACACAAGCATATACGTTCTACTGTACAGCATACAAGAGGATATACATTCTACTGTACAGCATACACAAGCATATACATTCTACTGTACATCATACACAAGCATATACATTCTACTCTACATCATACACAAGCATATACATTCTACTGTACAGCATACACAAGCATATACATCCTTCTGTACAGCATACACAAGCATATCCATTCTACTGTACAGCATACACGAGCATATACATTCTACTGTACAGCATACACAAGCATATACATTCTACTGTACATCATACACAAGCATATACATTCTACTCTACATCATACACAAGCATATACATTCTACTCTACATCATACACAAGCATATACATTCTACTGTACAGCATACACAAGCATATACATCCTTCTGTACAGCATACACAAGCATATACACTCTAATGTACAGCATACACAAGCATATACATTGTACTGCACAGCATACACAAGCATATACGTTCTAATGTACAGCATACAAGAGGATATACATTCTACTGTACAGCATACACTAGCATATACATTCTACTGTACATCATAGACAAGCATATACATTCTACTGTACATCATACACAAGCATATACATTCTACTGTACAGCATACACAAGTATATACATCCTTCTGTACAGCATATACGAGAATATACATTCTACTGTACATCATACACAAGCATATACATTCTACTGTACATCATACACAAGCATATACATTCTACTGTACAGCATACACAAGCATATACATCCTTCTGTACAGCATACACAAGCATATACATCCTTCTGTACATCATACACAAGCATATCCATTCTACTGTACAGCATACACGAGCATATACATTCTACTGTACAGCATACACAAGCATATACATTCTACTGTACATCATACACAAGCATATACATTCTACTGTACAGCAAACACAAGCATATACATCCTTCTCTACAGCATACACAAGCATATACATGCTAATGTAAAGCATACACAAGCATATACATTCTACTGTAAAGCATACACAAGCATATACATTCTACCGTACATCATACACAAGCATATACATTCTACTGTACAGCAAACACAAGCATATACATCCTTTTGTACAGCATACACAAGCATATACATGCTAATGTAAAGCATACACAAGCATATACATTCTACTGTACAGCATACACAAGCATATACATTCTACCGTACATCATACACAAGCATATACATCCTTCTGTACAGCATACACAAGCATATACATGCTAATGTACAGCATACACAAGCATATACATTGTACTGCACAGCATACACAAGCATATACATTCTACTGTACAGCATACATAAGCAGATACATTCTACTGTACAGCATACACAAACATATACATTCTACTCTACAGCATACACGAGCACATCCATTCTAATGTACAGCATACACAAGCACATACATTCTACTGTACAACATACACGAGCATATGCGTTCTTCTGTACAGCATACACAAGCATATACATTCTACTGTACAGCATACACGAGCATATACATCCTTCTGTACAGCATACACAAGCATATACGTTCTACTGTACAGCATACACAAGCATATACGTTCTACTGTCCAGCATTCAAGAGGATATACATTCTACTGTACAGCATACACAAGCATATACATTCTACTGTTCATTATACACAAGCATATACATTCTACGCTACATCATACACAAGCATATACATTTTACTGTACAGCAAACACAAGCATATACATCCTTCTGTACAGCATACACAAGCATATACATGCTAATGTACAGCATACACGAGCATATACGTTCTACTGTACAGTTTATACGAGCATATACATTCTACTGTACAGCATACACGAGCATATACATTCTAATGTACAGCATACACGAGCAGATACAT